TATACCTTCTATCCTAACTAGTATAATCATCGAACTTTCTGAATCTATACTTAACTATATTTTATTATGGTTGAAGATTGTTCTATTGTTAAGGGAGGTAAAGTTGTTCTATTGAGTAGATATTTACTGTAGGCCAATATCTGGTTTGTCTCAGTATATATACTATAAACATGGGTCTCTTTTCTATGCTTAAGTGTGGTATATTAATAGTTCTTAGGGCTTGTCATAATCCAGTTTGTATTTAATACTACTGTTATTGCTGACTTTGCTACCTTAGCCAAGGTGACATAATTGTTGCTAGTTGGGTTTCTCTGTATGCCAGTGTCTGGATTGTCTGGGGTTCATAAACAATGTCGTGGTCTAGTCCCAAAGAACTCGGTACTGAGCCACAGAAACTGCAACTTCCTCTCCCAAATGGAGATAGTTGGATCCTGGGAAAGAGGAAAACCTGTAATTAGTTATGCCCAGGGGATGCCTCTGAAAAGGAGAGATTAGAGAAGTCTCCACACCAGCAGCAAAGCTGAATGCTATAATAACCCACAAGCCTCAGTATAGAAAGCAAATAAACAAAAATAGAAACATGAGAAACAAGGCCACAAAATGCCCCCAGAATCTCCCAACGCCCTGCGAGTACATCTGCGCCTGGGGTAGTGGGGAGGAAATCAAAAGCCACACAGCCAAAATATCTGAAAGGATCACAGTGGAAGTAACAGGACAGATGTATGAGGTGCTTGGTGAATTCAGAGAAGACACAGCTAAAAAGATAATGATCTTAATGAAACCAATAAGCAGTGAGTATAAAGAAGATGGTAATTAGAAAGTAGAAGTGCTAAAGACATACAAATCACAAATACCCAGCATAGAAAAGAATTAGGCTCCATAACAAAGTTCCAAATAGAAATTCAGGTATTAAAACTTTTATTGCAAGTGCAAGCAGCAGAAGCAGCCACGTGTCACAGGCAGGACCGAGCATGAGAGCTAGAATGTAGGCCTGCAGCTGGTGATCAGTCAACAAGAGACACACTAAAAGCAACAAGAGAACATGAAGAATAGGTCCAAGAGCTTTAGATGACACAAAGAGAGCTGGCCTAAGATTAAGTGGAATTAGTGAAAGATCAGAAGGCAGTATAAAAGCACAAAAACAGCATAAACTTCAGTTTACAGAAGAACAGAAAACTTTCCAACAATAGAAAAAAATTTTAACCTGCAGGCAAATGAGTAATATACAACCCCCAATAGCTATGATTAGAAATAAACCACCCAACAATACTTAACAGACAAAAAAATACAAATCCAACACATGAACAGAATCTTAAAAGATGTTAAGTACAAAGTAATGAATCATTTATAAAAGAAAACCCATAATAGAATTTGGTAAGGTTGACATTATCAAAACTATAGGAGATTTCTCAACACAGATGTCAAAGGCAAGTAGAGATTGGAGTGAAGAGCTTCAAGCCCCAAAAGCAAACAGCTTCCCACTCATATTGATTTATCCTACAAAATTATCTTTCAAAATTATTGGAGAAATAAGATATTTCCATGATAAAGAGCACTTAATGAAATTCATGACTAAAAAGCCAGCCCTCTAAAAATTCTTGAGGATTTCCTCAAAATAGACAATGGAGCCAACAATGCCAAATTTCCAGTAGGATCAATGTACCAGCCAGGATAAATAATTAATTAGAAGGGAAAGGAAGTAAATCAGCTCCATGAAAATAATATAATAACAAGACTAAGTCAATACGTAACAGATCGAACCATCAACGTGAATAGTGTCAATTTACCAATAAAAAGACACAGATGGGCAGAATGGATCAAGAAACAAGAATTAATGGTATGCTGTATACAAGAAGTACATGTAATACAAAAATTCATAGACTAAATATCAAAGGATGGAACTCATAAACAAGAAGTGGCCATCCTACTTTCAACAAACTGAAATTTAAGCCAAATTTCAAGGGGCCAGGGAGATGGCTCAGTAGAATAAGTGCTTCCCTGGCAAGCGCAAGGGTCTGAGTTCAATCCCCAGTTCTGCCAAAAAAAAAAAGCCAAATTTCAGGCTTAATAAGGTGCAAAGAAAATCACTGTATTTTTGTTACAGGCACCATTCAATAGGAAGAGATAACAATAATAAACATGTATGCATCAAAAAACTGTATTCCCAACTTTATAAAACAAATAGTACTGGACACAAGAGACCAGATAAACGTCAACACAATCATAATGGAGGACCTAAGTACTCTACTATCACAAATAGACAGTTCAACTAAACAAACAAACAAAAAAATCAACAAAGAACTGCCAGAGTTCACAAAACCTTTGAGCAAATGGACTTAATATACATCTATAGTGTTCCACCACCACCAGAATACATACTATTTTTGGCTGCATATGAAACATTCTCTAATAGTAGCCAGGAAAGCATGCTTAAATAAATGTAAAATAATTAAAAATTTACCATCAATATTATCATTTCATAGCTCAATGAAATTAGAACTCAATAACCAAAGAAAACATAGAAATTATGCAAATGTACAGAAAACAAGCAACACTCTTGAATATTCTACAGGCACAGAAAAAATTAAAGAAGAAATAAGACAGTTCCTAGAATTAAATGATAATGCCAGGACAATACACCCAAACTAAGGGATACCATGAAAATAGTCCTAAGAGAGAAGTGTGTAGCTGTGAATGCCCACATTAAAACAAAACAAACAAACAGACAGAGTAAGACCTAATAAATAATCTAATGAAGCACCTGAAGATCCTAGAAAAACAAGAACAATGCAAATCTAGATCTAGTGAATGGAATTATAAAGATCAGAGCAGGCAAAACTCCAGAAGATTATTATCAATTACGCTACAAATCTGTAGGTCAATAGTTTGCAGAACTCAGAAGAAATAGTCCTAGTAATATTTTCATTACCAAAACTGAAGGCTTATAAATTCTGAGTAAGTAAACGAAATTTAAGCAGTCATTAAAAAAAATTACCAACTATGAAGAAAAGCTCAGCTCCTGGTAGATTTACTGCCAGATTCCACAAGAACTTCAGGGAAGAGCTCACACAGAGTTTCCTAAAACCTTTAATGAAACCAAAGGAAAGGAGTATTCCTAAAGTCATTCCTGCAAGTTAACACTACCCTGATTTCAAGGATCCAAACAAAAAAGGAAACTACAAACCAATTTCTTCAGTGAACATAGATGCAAACCTCAACAAGAACTAGAAAACAGAGTGCAACAAATCACTGGAAAGATCATACATCATGACCAATTAGGGTTTGCCCCAGGGATGCAAATCAATTTCAACATGTACAAATCAATTAACATAACCCATTGCATAAACAGAAGCAAGTATTAAAATATCATCTCAGTAGGTGCAGAGAAATCCTCTGACAAATCCAACATCCTTTCATGATAAAAGTACTGAAGAAAATAGGTATAGAAGGTAGAAGGATCTTTTTAAACTGATAAAAGCCATTTATGACAAGTCTACAACCAACATCCTAGTAATTAAGGAAACTCTTAGTTAGGTTTCCCTCTAAAACCAGAAACAAGACAAGGATGTCCACTGTCACCATTCCTGTTCAACATAATCCTTGAAGAATTAGCCAGAGTAGTCAGGCCAGACAAAGAAATAAAAAGGCTATGTGTAGTAAACAATGACATCAAAATATCAGTATTTGCAGGTGACATGACTCTCTAATTGGAAGACTCATGAAAATCCACTAAAAGACTCCTAAAATTAATAACCAAATTCAGCGATGTAACAGTGTACAAAATCAAGACACAAAAATTCAGTAGTGTTCCTGTACACCAGTAGTAAATATAATGAGAAACAAATTTGGAAAACAATACCATTCACACTTGCATTAAAAAAAAATTAAATAAGGGCAGCAGATATAGCTTAGCAGCATAAACACCTGCCTGGCAAGCACAAGGTCCTTAGTTCAATCCCCAGTACTGAAAAAAAAAGAAAGAAAGAAAAATTGAACATTTAGTAATTAACCTAACCAAAGAAGTGAAAGACCTATACAATGAAACTTACAACAGTCTGGAAAAGGAAGTTGAAGAGGACCTCAGAAAATGGAAAGATGTTCAAAGTCCCTAGATGGACAAGACCAGTACTATCAAAAAGGCTAGACTTCCAAATTTGATGTGTAGATCTAACACAATCTTTTCTTTTCTTTTTCTTTTTTGCATTTGGTGTAGCTGAGTAGTGAGACCCAGTAGGGGGGGCATCAGGGCTCACACCCTAACTGGGTCCCTCAGCTCCCCAGTGCGCAGGCGACCCCTCTGGACTCTTCTGCACCTGACTCCAGGGGCAGCATGGTCAGCCTACTTTGTAAATCCTCATATGTTTGTATCTCTTACATGAACTCTGTCTCTCTAGTGGACACGGACTGACATATGCCTTGTTGCTCTTGTCCCTTTCGCATGTGCACTCATTGAATTCGCCTCCAAGTCACCTTTCAGTTTCCCGTCTTCTATTGTCCCTCTTGCCAGTTGAGCTTTCTGAGCTTCCTCAGCTGTGTCTCAAATACAAGCACTGGTGGGAATGGCCAGTCCACGCTGTGGGGCCATAGACGAGAGTGGGGAAGACAGAGGTGTCAGCACATCGTTTCCATGAGATGGGATGTGAGCCCAAGCAGAGGTGTGTGTGTTGCTTGCTGAACAAGAATTTTCTAAGTAAAGTGGAATTTAAGCCCTTCTTAACACAAACATGGATTCTAGATACTTACTATATATATATATATATATATATATATATATATATATATATGAATATAACCACACTGAAAAAAATATTAAATACACATGTAAAGTAAATGAGACTTCTTAAAACCAAATATATTAGTCTATAGATATTTGATGCCTGTTCTTGGTATCATGGGGAATACAAGTCTCAACAAAGAAGTACAACAAAGTCATTCTTAATAGCATAATAATATTTCTTATTTCACCAGCACACATCCAGTCCCCACACCTCTGTACCTACCTTGGTGCTGTGACAGGTCTGCAGTGGCTGAAGATTGAAGTGAGGTGCTGAGAACCGATAGGTGCCGAGAAGAAGAAAGCGAGTCTCGGAGCTCCAGGATCAGCGCTGCCTGTGGGCTGTGGAGTGGGAGGTCTACTGCATGGTCCGCCTCAGCAGGCCACTACACAGACTCTCCATCTTCATTTACTAAGTTGCAAAACATTCCCACCTCCGCCCACCAAAGGCTGAAGACACCACCCCTCTAATTCCAGTTGCTCAGCCAGCTGAGGCAGGAGAATCAAGTTTGACGCCAGTCTGGATAACTTAGTGAGACCCTGTCTAAAATTTTAAAAAGTAGGATGTCACCTGGTGGGAGAGTGCTTCCTGCTGCACACTGCTAACGTGGTGTGTCTCCACACCACCAAAGCTGAGACCCTGGAACGGCTGCTCAGTTCACAAAGCCCTGTCTTGTCTCCCACCCAGGCTCTTTTTTCCCTCTTCCTGCCTTCAAGGCTGTCCCCACCTTCACAGGAGCCATGGTGACTCCTACAGGAAGGTGCACTTGGCCGGTCAGCTCCAGCTCTGGATCCCAAACCCTCCCGGGTTCAGGCACGAGTCTAATGATACCTGCCACTGTTCACTCCCATAGGCTGGCCCCTGAGAACCAGGCCCTGCGGTCTCAGACCGCAGCGGGTGCCTTGTGAGCCTGTCAGTCCTCAGCCTCACCTTTGCCCTGGAAGTGCTCCAGTTTGCAGGTAGGTGCTCCGTGCCCCCAGCTGCAGTCTTGGCACACCTCTTCTCCACATTACTATCCTCTCAGTCCCTCAAGCAGCCTTCCCACACCCTCAGGGCCCTGGGCCTTGCAGATGCAGGCTGACCCCAGTTTGCCCCACCTGGAGCAGACTAGACTTCTCCCTGGCTGGCTTTGTTGACAGCTTAAGTCTTAGAGAGAAAGGATTTGAGAGTGACAGGACTGTGATGCTCCCCACTGGGTCAGCCCCTGCCCTGCTAATCTTGAGCTCGTGACACAGAGGCTCACTCCACAAGCACAACCTGCAAGGGGTGTTCTGCATTTCTAACAGGCAGGACAGAATGCAGGATGAGAAGAGGGTCCTAGAAGAAGGAGGACCCTGGAGAAACCAGCTAAGTCAGTGCAGCCCCACTCCACCTACTCAACTGTGCCGCTACCCGACTGTATCACCTTGGGCTGATCAAATTCTCTAAGTCTTGTCTGTGAAATTCAAGCCATGGGCCTGTGACAATCTTTGACAATCTTCCAGCCCTCGTAGACTGTGACTTTAGATGTAGGGTCACCTGTGCTCTCGGAGACTCAAACAAGACACTGTGGTATCTATGTTGACCTACACCATTCACAGGTTTCCACAGATGAAACCTGATTTACAATCATACTGAGAGTAGCCTGTGCTGATTAATGAGTGCTTGTAGCACTCAGTGGAGAAGCATCTGGTTGCCAGGTAACCAGCCTCTGTCCCTGTTGGCAGAGCATGAGGCTGACTTGGGTCCTTGTTAGCTGTGACTGGTAGAGCTACATGTGACTTTTGATCACTGCTACCATGGAAAGCTCTAACCAAACCATCCCTCTACACCCCCAAAGCTTTCAGGTTAGAACAATGGAACAAATGTCTTACCCAAGGAGAACAGCGCTACCTGTATTCCTGTCATACATGTATGCATGTATCTAGCTAACATTTGCGAATATTAACACCACCTCCCCAGCTGCATTTGTCAACTTTCCTGTTTCTGGAACACAACACCTGACACCCACATCTTAAAGGGACAGAGGTTTAGTTGGACTCACAGTTTCAGGGGATTCAGTCCGTAACCAGCTGGTCCCAAGGAAGGAGTGTCAGAGCAGAGGGGCATGGCAGAACGAAGGTGTTCAGCACATGCTGCCTAGCAGTAGAGCTGAGGAACAGTGCCCGAGAACAAGGAATGAGAAGCCGACAGAGTCTGAGGCTGTGCTTCCGTGCCCTGTCCAAATCACCCAGAAGTGTGCTCCCCCAAGCCCCTGGGAGGATCCCAAGCCAATCAAGTTGTCCCAAGCAAGCTCCACCCTCACACCACATGCCCCTCACAGACAGGCACGCACTCCAGGAGAAGGAAACCAAGCCTGCAAAGCCAGATGCTCCCTGACGTACCCACGACGGGGCCAGGTCCTGATGATGTTGCAGAAACAGTGGCTGTCATGGGTTCTTAAGTCTTCCACAAAAGAACTGAGACAAGAGGCAGGTGCATTGTGAGGCCAAAGTGCCTGCGTCAGGAAAGTGTGGGCAATGCCAGGATGTCAGTGCTCTCGGTTAAGGCCTGGGCAACACCCGTGTGGCTAATGGGCCTCAAAGAACAGCCCCGATTGCTGTTCTGTGACCAGGGCCAGTAAGGTTGTTTGATCAGCTTCAAAGGGGAAGACTGTGCCTACTCTAGGTGGAACGTTCTGCTCAGTTGTTTGAACCCCGAGGCCATCCAGACTTTGTCAGGTCCTAGATCTTATCAGCTTGTGAAGAGAAGGGCATGTTCTTCTGGGCAGAGAAGGGCATGTTCTTCTGGGCCGCAGCTCATTTGGATTTTATTTCTACCAGATGATTAAGAAACTGTAGGAAAAAAAAAAAAAAAAAGCATCGCATCTCCTTCGCTTCTCACAGAGCCACTTGATATAGTCCCCAGCTCCTTGTCTCTGGGCAGTAATGCTGACCTGCCCAGAGTCAAACCACTGTACATCGAAATCCTGTGATTCAAACCTGTAGCAAATACACATGACCTAAAACCACAGAGATTTGGGTGAATATTAGTAGATCAAATTTCCCTACATTCCGCTGGGACTGGATAAGAGGAAGAGGGGAATGGAATAATGAGGACAGAGGACTTTACATCTGTGAGACGTGGATTGAGTGAGGTAGTGAAAGCCTGTATAATCTCAGCACTCGGGAGGCTGACGCCTCAAAACAAAAACAAAAACACAAACAGGAAGTCTGTGAAATGTTCTGCTTCTTTCAGAGGCAGCTGTGTGTTGGTGAGTCTCTAACTCATACCCAGATGTCCTCACACCCAGCTGGCAGCGATTGGCACCTGCCTGTCCATTCGCCCAGGGACGCCTGCCTTCCTCTGCCTCCTTGTGTGAACAGCTCCCTAAACTCTCCTTCTGCACCTACCTGATCCCTGGGGGAAGTAGTGTCTTCAGAGGGTGGGGTAGTGAAGCCAAAGCACAGCCGCAGCCAAGGTGGGAAGGTGGAAGTGTCTATGCCTGGCTGCTTTCTGGAATTATCCACAGCTGCTCTCCTCCCACCCACTCTCGTCTCCCCTCAGTCCATTTCCATACAGCAGACACCATGCATAAAAGCAAGCACATCTCACAGCCCAGGCCTCTCATTTCACAAAGACCCCAGTGCCTTCCCCTGATGCTAGAGACAGTGTGGTCTTCAGCCCCCTCCAGGGCCGTGCCCTCACTCATGTGACAGCCATGCTGGCCTCTGGAGCAGGCGAGACTTTGTCCTTCCCTGGGGCCTTGCACCAGCCACTCTCACTCATGAAATTTCCCCCATAGCTCTGTGAAGCAGGCACTACTGCAACCCTATTTATAGAGTGGGAAACAGAGGCACAGCATAGCTAGCGAACAAGGCAGGGGCTCACAGTGAGCAAGGGAGGTATTTTCCTTTGCTGGGTTTCTGTAACGAGACAGTGTAGACTTAAACAGAAACAGGCTTTCTCACTGATCTGGAGGCTGGAAGTGCAAGACTGAGGTGTTGGCAGGGATGACTTCTCCCAAGGAAGACTCTACCTCTGTTGTCTCTTTCCAGAGCTGTCCCGAGTGCAAATGTGTCTGCTGTCTCTTAGGTCAGCTGTCAAATCTGTTAAGCCCCGCCATGAGGGTGTAGCCTAAGTTGATTCCCTTCCAGGGTACAGGGTTATGGTACCACTCATGAACCTGAGAGGACCTGGTTCATCCTGAGACCTCGGGGCTGGCATCAAACCTCAGCAGTCAGTCTCTCTCCAGAGTCCATGCTGGTAACCTTCGTGCTGTAACAAGTGAACAAATCAAACGCATTCAGCACGTTCTGCAGCTCCTAGTGTGGCAGCCGTGCTGCACTGCCCACTCGGTCCTCTTATTGTGTCTCCCCAGCCTCCTGCTGCCTACACAGCTTGGCTTTGGTTCAGGAGGCAATGAGGTGAGCTCCAGTGCTGTGACAGCCTCAACGTCTCCAATACTGTATTTCCCTGAAAGTTAGACTGGGTCTTGCATTAATTTTTGCTCCAAAAGAAAAAATAGGGTTTATTTTCTGGGGATGCCTTATTTCTTTTTCATGCACAACAATCTACATGTATTCATCTATTCACATACAAAAATCTAGTTTTTCTTGTACAAAAATCTACATCTATTCAAATATAGTCATGTCATTCTTCTGGAGCATCACCCTTATTTTCCAAGCCCCAGATTCTGGCCTGAATTCCCTGCAGTTCTGTTTCCTGCAGAACCATTCATCCCAACCTCTCTTGCTTAGCAACAGCATCCTCCCGGAACGAGCGCTTCTTCTCCGTGTAGCCTGCCCGTAGTGCGTCGGCAGCACAGCTGCCTGGGTTTTATCCTATGAGTCCCGAGTCACAACCTCCTGTAGGCTGGGCTTCACACGGTTTCCATTAAATCAAGTGTTAAGGGAATTCTTCTGAGACAGGAGCAACAACAAGGTTGCTGACAGTTAGGAACGATGGTATACACCAAAGTGACAAAAATTGCAGACACCGACACTCAGGAAATGGGTCGTTATTTCACAGAGTGCATTAAGTAGCCCCGCAAAACACCTGGTGTACTGACTTACGAAGATTCATATTAGACACAAGCACATCCACTTGCTTCCAAGTGTGCATGTTGTCATGTGTGGTGTCTGTACTCTGGTCATTTGGCAATAAGCCCCGAGTTCACCTCTTTACGTAGGTGTTCACCCCTCATTCAAAGGTGCTCACTTGGGCACTTGCAAATACTTATAGTTTATATTTTCATTTGTTTTAGGTATTCTTGTCAATGATAGTATTTATTTGTATTTAATTACATATTAATATTATATTTATAATTCAATATATCTGACCTATGTTGCAGCTGATATACTAAATATATTCAT